AAATTCTTAACCTGAGGTACTATTTCTGGGTTAGCGGAGTCTGTAACCTGAAGTGTATGTAACCTGAAGCATATGTAACCCGAGGTACCACTATACTTCTCTGCACTTAGGGTTGCCATATGTCCTCTTTTTCCAGGACATGTCCTCTTTTTCATGGGTAGAGTCATCATAACGATCCATAGTTAAAAGTCAGCAAATGTGTCGACCCTAGGACCCTTTGTACTAGATACTAGCCTGCCTTCAGAAATGTATCTGAGCTTTATCATCATTTACTCTTAGCAAGGGTCCAGATTTGGAGCAGGGATTTTGACAGACCAGAGGTTTGTGTGTTTGATAAGGTGGGGGGAGAGCTTTTAGATCTAACGTCAGAACTTTTTGGACAGAGACAGAATCCTCTTTTTTTTTTATAAGATATTTATTAAGATTTTCAAAATATTACAAAAGAAAAATAGAAAAAAGAAAAATACAAAATAAAATTAATTAAAAACAAGTCAATCTTTCAATTACTTATTTTTCATTAGCTTGTTTCCCGGACCTCCTCACGCCTCCCTTTTTTGTATTCCAGTTCAGTTTGTTGGTTCAGCAAATCCTTCCCCTCTTTGTTTATCCTAATCTCTAATCTTAAAGTATTATAACCTTAAATTTTTACCTGTTAGTAATCCATTTTTCATATTCCCTTATAATATTTCTGCTAAAAACCATTTAATTTCTATCCAACATCATTCTAACATTCATTAATTTTACAATATTTCTGTAAACAGTCTTTAAATTTCTTCCAATCTTCTTCCACCGACTCTTCTCCCTGGTCTCGGATTCTGCCAGGACAGAGACAGAATCCTATATTTACATGTTCTGATTCTTAAAAAAAAACTTGGCAGGAACATGCAGCAAAGGCACTCTGGGATCTGGTCCCTCCTCTCCCAGAATGCAAATAACATTCTTGGTTATCTAAATGTTATGAGTGGCCCCCAAAGTCTTTAAAATAAGAGGAATCATAAATGGTCCTAAACACCCTTCCAATATTTTTTAGTCCTGAAATGTTTATTGCAGGGCATTTAATAAATGCCATCTGAATTACGGTTTGAGCATATGATCCTCTGTGGATTAATTTTCTATCGAGGGAAGCAAGGAAATTTTTTCACAGAAATGAGGCTAAGTGCAAAAGTATTTAATCTTGCCTGAATATCACTGAAGCAACTAGGAGTGAGCCCAAAGGAAACACTGATAAAAATGGGAAATTATAGTCCCCAATGAGGATTTTAAGGACTGAAATTCAGCCAGCATGGAAACTCAAAACGTACAGCGGCTCTGTTTCAGTCCAGACAATACAATAAAATTTTCTAAGAATGTAGCTCCTAAGAATAGCTATTGGAAGAGTTATCCTGAAGGACTGTAGATAGCTATAGATAGCCTGCAACTGCACATTTGGGGGAGTTAAGTTTTATAATGAGTCAGGGTGAAGATTGGTGGACAAGCTTAGCTGACTGAGATCTGTTCAGTTCTCAGAAAGCGTGTTCTCCCTAACAGAGAGCACGTGTTGCGGTTGGGGGAACAAGCCACCCTCACGTTACTGGGCAGATTTGGAGGAACCCAAGCCTTTAAGTGGTTAAAATTGGGTTGCTGGGGAGTTTTGATTGTTGCCAATTTGGAGGAGGGGTCAGAGTCTTTAAATACAGGGGCCAGACGTTGGACGTCCTCTTGGCCGTTTTGCATCGGATCACCCGCCCTCCCTCCCTTTAATAGGGTGATTTTTTCTTGATCGCTTGACCTTGCTATGCCTGTCATGGGGTCGTCCGCCTTGGAGCGGGGGCCTGGTAGGAATTTTGCCATCTGGCTGATTGGCTGGTGCCATTTGGTTTTTGCCTACTGCGTAGCAAATCGTCACAACTTGTAAGGTTGGCGGTTAGGCATTGGTTAAATTGGTGCTTGGAGGGTAAGTGCCTACCCCTCCAAATGATGCGGAAAGGGAATTCCGTTAAAGGAATCCAGGGGCTTGCCATTCTTTTCGTCCTTGTCCCTGGCATCGGACTTGGGCCGTGCAAGCCCCACAGGAACATGAGGGTGAGAAGTGAGGGACTGTTGCCCAGCTTCATTTTCTCACCCAATACTTGTTTCCCACGCTGGCTTCCGCTGGAATCCGGAAGTCAGCTCTGTCCTTGAGGGCAAGGACAGATAGTCATAACCAATGCCTAAGCAACCACTCACATTTCTTGCATTTTGAATAAAGTTGTGGCCAAAATTATGCCAAAAACCTTAAACAAAAATTGATGTGTGAAGTGTGAATTTTTTTGGGGGGGTGGCATTGTGGGACTCAACACGCAAATGGTTAAAGGGGAAGGGCTGGGGAAAGTACTAGAACAGGGACCACTTCGATGGATAGCGGAGCAACTATGCAGCACCTAAATTCATAAATATTTGGCTATACTTCCCCATTTCTACACACACACACACACACACACACACACACATTTCCTGTCACTTTTCATGGGCTCTTTGTTTTTCAGGATTGTTTCTTTCACAGTTGTTCACCACACAGCAAGTAGTTGTGAATAAGAACTGTCAGTCCTCACAGACAAACAATCAAGGTGTTGGTGGTTCTGTCTCACTGCCTCTCCTTCCCTGTCTGGATGCAGCCATCAGCAAAGTGGCTCAGCACAGCAGTCACAATCCTGCACAGTGATGATCCACCACCCCCTGCCTTCACTACCAGCTCCCATGGGTCTCTGGGCACCCACTGTGGTGGCTGGCATTGCCTACTCATAACCCACTTTGTCACTCATCACTGTTAACACCCGCTGTGTGGACAAACAGTAGCCTTGTCCCAGTCCACTTCTCAGAGCCGGGCCAAGACATTTTGCTAACTGAGGCAAAGGACAAAGATGGTACTCTTATCCACTGCATTCCATACACTGAAGGCAACTGGGCCTCCAGTTGACTCTAACTTCAACTGTGGTGTTGGGACTGCATCCTCCACAACACCTCAGGGCAGCAAGCTAGCACCACAGCATCCCCCCGCATCTGCTATCTAAGGCGATTGCCTCAAGGTCATGGTCCCATTGGTAGGGCCGGCACCAGCTGTTCTCAGAACAGGTAAAGGTAAAGGGACCCCTGACCATTAGGTCCAGTCGTGACTGACTCTGGGGTTGCGGCACTCATCTCGCTTTATTGGCCAAGGGAGCCGGTGTACAGCTTCTGGGCCATGTGGCAAGCATGACTAAACTGCTTCTGGCTAACCAGAGCAGTGCACGGAAACGCCGTTTACCTTCCCGCTGGAGTGGTACCTATTTATCTACTTGCACTTTGATGTGCTTTCGAACTGCTAAGAACAGGGCAAGGTCAATAAAACATGCCAGTAATTCACTGTTAATCTTATCCATGATTTCAGCTTTTAAAATTCGCCTCATTCACCACAGAATCTCGTGAAAATCCAAGGCTGCCTGGTTCTGCTACTTTCAATCCACACCTCTTCTTTTCTTTATTTTATTTTTTAGAGTGAGGTATTCCCCCCCCCCCCCGATGTTACTTGGCTTTCAGAGCACTAAGTCTTTGTGTAATTGATGAGGGACCCTATACCTAGGGGTCAGTGAGGACCTATTTTGTGTTTCCTTTTATTCAGAAGGGGCTGAAGCAGCAGTCCTGACTTAAAGGCAGACTTTGATTGGAAAATAAACAACTATAAAGTACAATAAATCCCATTGAAGAGCCCCAGTCAAAACATCCCAATGAACAGCTAATGCCTGCTAATCAGGTCCAGATGTCAACGACATGTCTGGCACTAATTGGTTGACTTGCCAAATAGGGAACAGCTTCGCCCAAAGGGGAGACCTGCTGCATGCTGCAGAAAGGGCTCTGAGAAATGCAAAGTGTGTGTCACCCTAAAGCACAAAAATGGCTTTTTCTGTCCCTTCTTCACAAAAAGATGCAAATCGAGTACTCTGTTAAAACACACCCACCCAAAAAGACCCAAGCACATCAGCATTCGAGAACAAGGGCTCATTTTTGGCAATGGCATACAGTGGTACCTCTGGTTACATACGCTTCAGGTTACATACGCTTCAGGTTACAGACTCTGCTAACCCAGAAATAGTGCTTCAGGTTAAGAACTTTGCTTCAGGATAAGAACAGAAATTGTGCTCTGGCGGCACGGCGGCAGCAGGAGGCCCCATTAGCTAAAGTGGTGCTTCAGGTTAAGAACAGTTTCAGGTTAAGAACGGACCTCTGGAATGAATTAAGTACTTAACCCGAGGTACCACTGTATGCCATTGCACCTATTACTACTACTACTACTACTAATAATAATAATAATAATAATAAATTCTATTTATACCCCGCCCTCCCCAGCCAAGACCGGGCTCAGGGCGGCTAACACCAGGTATAAAACAATTGATTAAAATACAGCTTAAAAACAAGATTAAAATACAACATTAAAATGCAGCCTCATTTCAGTAGAAACTCAAATCAAAAACTTTTGGGGGATGAAAACGTCAAATCTTCACCAAAGCCAACTATCCAGACTTGTCCTACAAGGGCCAGAAAAAAAGCCAAGGAAGTCCCCAAATAGGAGTTCCATCACAGAAGGAAAAAGGGAAAAGGAAAGAGGAAAGAGGGAAAGGGCATCAAGGACTAGCATGTCCTGATTGCCAAATTAGCTTTGACATTTGCCATATCTAACAGTTGCTTGGTATGTGTGACTAGAGAGAGAAAATGGGACCCAAAAGCATGGCAAAGGGGTGGGACTGTGCAAATAGGAACATGCCAAATGGCTCCCACTCAGCTCTGTTTGACCAAATAAATCAACAAAATTGAATGCTTCCAAGAACCTGGGTTGAGGAGACACAGGGGACAGATCATGTACTAATATTTTATCTTGTGTGTGTTGTTAACCACTTCAGGCTTCTCACCAAAGGGGAAAGCAAAGTATAAGTAAAACATAGAATTGTAGAGTGGGAAAGAACCACAAGGGTCATCTAGTCCAACCCTGTGCAATTCAGGAATATTTTTGTCCAGTGTGGGGCTCAAACCCACAACCCTAGGATCAAGAGTCTCATGCTCTACCAACTGAATCATGCTTCTGGTCCATGGGGGACTTCTAACAATGCTCCCCCAAATTATCTCAGTGATCAAATTGGGATGTACAGTATTAGGCAGCCCTTAAGGTATCCTGGGTCTAAGTCCTCCAGGGATTTGTATGCTACTACAAGAACCCTGAGGGACATGGGTGGTGCTATGGTCTAAACCACCGAGCCTCTTGGGCCTGCCAATGGGATGAGCTCCCATTGCTCTGTCCCAGCTTCTGCCAATCTAGCAGTTTGAAAGCAAGTAGGTAAATAGGTACTGCTGTGGCGGGAAGGTAAACGGCGTTTCCGTGCGCTCTGGTTTCCATCACGGTGTTCCATTGTGCCAGAAGCTCTTTAGTCATGCTGGCCACATGACCTGGAAAGCTGTCTGTGGACAAACGCCGGCTCCCTCAGCCTGAAAGCGAGATGAGCACCACAACCCCATAGTAGCCTTTGACAGGACTTAACCGTCCAGGGGTCCTTTACCTTTTACAAGAACCTTGAACCTGCCCCAAGTAGTGGGTGGCAAACCACAATTGTTGGCCACTTTGCATTTCCTTTGGTAAAGAGAAGCAGGTTATAAATATTAAATGAAACAGAAACGGAATACAAAAGATGTAGCATTTGCACTGACTTAATGCTACAAGGGTCTAACAGTGTCTCTATGCCAGAATAACTTGGGAGTTACACTCACGAGAGTCATTTAGTAGCAGTCCTGCCCTTGTCCAGTTGGTGTACCTCAAAGGCAGGACAGCATTGCTGGTTTCCATTTACCTCCAAGCACTTTAGAACAGCAAAGCTGACTGTTAAAGGAAACTGTTCAGATTGAAGTAAGTGGCATTCAGAAGAAAATAGGAAAAGTAAACTCAAGGGTTAATGAAAGTAAATGAGAAAATCCCCACTGATCCCCTATAATCCTCATGGTCTGAGTGCAGCTGTCAATCATTAACAGAAACCCTTTAAAAAAAAAGTATTCCCTGATGAGTAGGTTATTTCAAACACATATATGTTTTCCAGCAAAAATATGTTGGCAGGAAAATTTCCAGTTTGAAAGGGGAATATATGACTAAAATGTGGTGCATAAATTTGGAAAAGATCATGTTTCTTTTGGTAGTTAAAATCTATTTAAACTGTCCATTCAAACTCATTTTCTTCTTTTCAAGTAAGCATAAGTAAGTTTCACATACAAGTGGGAAGGCTGCTGCCATTAAATGTAAATTCACACAAATTTAACACATTACACTAAGCGAAGAAAACAAGGCTTATGTACAATTCCAGTCCTGTTCAGAAAGGTCAGGGCAGTGGTGCCCATTGAGACTGGGGTGGAGGAGGAGGAGGCAGGGAGGGCCAACAGCAGGTGGCGCCAGAGCCAATGGCAGGCAGAGCCAACTAACTGTAGGTTTGTCCCCATCCTCTCTCCCGGCTGAGCTCTGCCATACTCACAGAGTCATGTAAGTATGAAGATAGGCAGGTGGTTGGCTGGATGCAGGCATGGAGTGGTGCCCCATTAGCTGTAATGGACCAGCTTCCATTGGGTATAGGCATACAAAATTCACGTAATCAGACAATACCATTGTAATCAATGTGTGGCATACAACAACTTCACAAATGGCAGTGGTAATATATGTAGCAACACAGCTAAGAGATCAGCTAAGCTACTATTGCACAAGTAATTTTGTTGGCATAGTATATTGATGCCTTCTACTCTCTTTTTGCGGGATGCTGTCTCCTAGATATTTAGCCTAGGGCTTGCTGATCAGAAGGTCAGTGGTTCGAATCCCCACGACTGGGTGAGCTCCCGTTGCTCGGTCCCTGCTCCTGCCAACCTAGCAGTTTGAAAACACATCAAAAGTGCAAGTAGATAAATATTTTATTTTTTTTTATAATATTTATTCAAATTTTAAGATTACAGAAAAAGAAAAAAGTAAAAAAAGAAAAACTAATCACATACATCCTACAAGAAAAACACACAATACAAGGAAAAATACACAAGACAAAAAATCACAATAAAAAATAACAAAAGAAAAATTCAACTTAAACCATTAGAGCCGTTTTCCCATTTACTTATTTCCGTGACTTCCTCTCACTTCTCTGCTTTGTATTCTAATTCAAATTGTATCTCCAGCAAATCCTTCTAACCTTCTTTTCATTTACTTATTTTAACATTCAAAAATATTTAATTCTCCTCTATCTTTTATTTTACACTTCATATTTACTTAATTCCATTATACTCTGTCTGCCAATACGGTCTAATATTCTTCTCCAACCTTTTCTAACATTCTTTTATATTACAGTGATTCTGAAGATATGTTTTAAATTTTTTCCAAAAAGTGCAAGTAGATAAATAGGTACCGCTCCGGCACGAAGGTAAACAGTGTTTCCGTGCACTGCTCTGGTTTGCCAGAAGCGGCTTAGTCATGCTGGCCACATGACCCGGAAGCTGTACGCTGGCTCCCTCGGCCAATAAAGCGAGATGAGCGCCGCAACCCCAGAGTCGGCCACGACTGGACCTATTGGTCAGGGGTCCCTTTACCTTTTACCAGCACAATTGTTAACTATCCCCCATGGGTCTGTACTTGTCACTAATGTGGATAAGACTCCTTACATCTGACATAACTTCTGATAGCACAAAGACTTGAAAACCAATTTGAATTTTAAAACTTGCTCCAGAAGGATATACGGAGCTTCTGCAAATGGAGTCCAATTAGTGGTTCATTTGACCCAATGATGTCTACTCTGAATTGCAGCAGCACTCTGGGATCTTAGGCAGCCTTCCTAAGCACTGCTGCCAAGAAATCTTTTGAAACAGCCCAGATCTTTGCAGCTCTTTAAGCAAAAATGCCAAGTATTGTCTCTACCTCCTTTCTCAACAACACCTGTCATCACATCCTCCCCCGTGAGCTTGCCCAACACTTAAGACTGGCATCTGAAGGCTCTGCTCATGGTTGTGCCCCTATGTGAAATCAGGTGGCCTGATACCTGTGACAGGGCCTTTTCAGTGTTGGCACTAAGATTGTGGAATACCTCCCGATAAAGATCCGCCAGGCCCATTCTCTTTTAGTGTTCAGGTGCTTATTGAAAACTTCCTTGTTTCGGTGTGCCTTTGGTTTTCGAATTCTCCATCATTAGAACGTGCTTGGCTTTTAATCTGCTGTTTTGGGTTTGGTTTTACTGTATTTGATGCTGTCTACAGCAACTTCGCTTCATGTTTATATTTCATTTGCTCTATTGTGTTTAAAAGTCACTAATCTGGGTGTCACTGGGGCCAAAAAGTGGGATAAAATAATAAATCTAATCTAATCTCTCCCCCCAGCCCCTGCCACCACCCAGGGAGCAGGTAAATAAATTGTGCACATGCAATCATATCATTGGTGCTGACCTTTAAAGCCCTAAACGGCCTCGGTCCAGTATACCTGAAGGAGCGTCTCCACCTCCATCGTTCTGCCCAGACACTGAGGTCCAGTGCCAAGGCCCTTCTGGCGGTTCCCTCGCTGCGAGAAGCCAAGTTACAGGGAACCAGGCAGAGGGCCTTCTCGGTAGTGGCGCCCACCCTGTGGAACACCCTCCCACCAGTTGTCAAAGAGAAAAAGAACTACCAAACTTTTAGAAGACATCTAAAAGTAGCCCTGTTTAGGGAAGCTTTTAATGTTTGATAGGTTATTGTATTTTAGTGTTTTGTTGGAAGCCATCCAGAGTGGCTGGGGGGACACAGCCAGATGGGCAGGGTATAAATAATATGTTGTTGTTGTTGTTGTTGTTGTTGTTATTTCACACAGGCCACTTTCTCACTTCCTGGAAGCCCTACAGAAAGTGAAAGAATTGAATTTGCCACGTGCCCCTTCCTCAGTGTCCTGCGAACTGTATAGACACACACTCATAGAGTGAGATTCTTTTACTTTCAGGTATGGAGGAAGCAATGAACTTCAGCTCCCTCTCTTCTCAGGTGCCCCAAATGAAGTGAAGTGATCCTTTAGCACTCCCTTGGCTGAGGGAGATGGAGGCCATGGAAGGAATATGCACTGCACTTGCTTCTCAATATTGAAAGGAAGATGCACAGCTTCAATGACCTCAGAGAGAAGACTACTTCCTTCACAACCACCTTCTACTGCACTTACTATGCGGTTCAAGAGAGCTGAGATAGAGAAACTGTGGCCCTCCAGGTTTTGATGAACTACAACAGCCATCAACACTGATCTTGGCCATGTTGGCTGGGGCTGATAGGAGATGGGTCCAATAATATCTGGAGGGCCACTGGGCCGCCACCCGTCTTCTAGAGGAATGGGTTAGACTCCATCCTCTCACAGAAGGAATAGTAGTCCCCCCCCCCTTTACTGGGTAATGGGCAACAGGTGTGATGGAAGAGAAAGCAATATCTCCCACAATTCATCACATACACCCTCAAGCCTGAGACCAAGAATCCACCCTACCTTGTGGTAGGGCCAGGCCCATGTGGCTATGCAGGCAGTATTTTCTAGCTGAACCTAATGTGACATACAGTTATATATTTAATTCAGCCCTCCCTTGGCTCACATGACAGACATAACACACATATTTGCGTCCAGCTGCTGTAAGCGCATTGGAGCAGAATCTACTTCCATACAAGAAGCTAAATATAAGATGTTATCATATATTAAATTCCCCATTTTCACTCCTCAAGACACCAGAGCTGGTGCTGCTTCACACCTGTAAATATCCTAAACTAATTTTGTCCTCCTTTCAGCTTTTCCTTCTTACCTCAGGCTGACTTGGAAAGAAATGTCCCCTCTCTGGGGTTTAAAAGAGAGAACCTGTTTGTTAGCCCTTTGGCCTACAGGCAGGATTAAAGTGTTAGCTCCATGTCTATCAATCTGTCACTTAAACATTTACCAAACTACTGACCACTTCCATTCAAAGACCATTAAACAGGGATTAGGCTTTTTCCTGGGTTAAAATGCTAGGAATGTCACACCCATGCCAGTTCGGTTTATGTGTAGGGGGATAAAAAGTTATATGTTTATTGACTCCTCAGCTCTATCCCCTT